TCGCTTTTCTCCTGCCGCTCCGCGGGCCGCCCCACGGCTGTGCATTTTTATCCGCGCTGTCCACGGCCGGACAGCTCATGGTGAACCTCTCCCACAGTTCTTGCTGCGTGTACCCTCCCTGCCATCTATGCCCAGATGACCTGAGTATCGTTTAACCGATCCCCATCCCCAGCGGCGTGGCCTGGGCCCCAGTGGCCGATTTACCCCCCTAGATGGGGATACAGGTCGCTCCCTTCGGGTCTCGAGGGGTGTATCCCTTACTGGGGGGTAATCTGGTGGGGGTCTCGAAGGGGATGGGGATGGGGATGGGCACACAGCGTCTCAGGCCAACAGACCCACGGGGCCAGAGTGTGCGCCCGTCCACCCGCGGAGTAACACCGGAGGCTCCGGCCCTGACTGGGGCCGGAGTGCACGCCTTTCCGTCGATGTTGTTGTTGTTGTTGTTGTTGTTGTTGTTGTTGTTGTTGTTGTTGTTGTTGTTGTTGTTGTTGTTGTTGTTGTTGTTGCTGTTGTTGTTGTGATTGTTGTGGTTGTTGTTGTCGTGGTTGTTGTTGTTGTGGTTGTTGTTGTTGTTGTTGTTGTTGTTGATGTTGTTGTTGTTGTTGTTGTTGTTGTTGTTGTTGTTGTTGTTGTTGTTGTTGTTGTTGTTGTTGTTGTTGCTGCTGTTGTTATGTGTGCGTGTGTGTGTGTGTGTTTGCTTGTTTGCTTGCTTACGTCTCGATACGGAACAGTGATGAACCCCGTCCTGGCGGGGAAGAGGGGTGGGGTCTGAGATCGAAATGTATTGAATTCCCTTGGGCCCAGAAGGCTGGTGGGATTTCAAGCTTGACGGGGAAGCGCGTCATTTGCAGCAGCCGCCTGGCAGATTTTAAGATGCAGGCCCTGCGCTTGTGCCAGGAAGGGATTGCACAGCCTCAGCTGTGCGCGATCTACTGAGCCTCCCGAAACCGCAAGAGGCCCTCCATGCCTCCTCCCTCCCTCGAGGCTCTCCCTCCCTGTGCAGTCGAATTTGAATGGAGCGGGCGCGCCAGAGGGCGACTGATCCCTTGCCACAGGACTGCAGAGGACAGGAAACGCGATATACAGGGCATAAGGGTAGCTACTTTGATTTGGCAAGGTCGGCCTACTGATCAAGCTCGACCGCGTGCCTCCCTTCCTCCTCTCCCACCTCGTCCTGGGTTGCCCAGCGTGCCACGTCTTGTTCTTCATCATCTGAGCTACGGCGTTGCGACGCACCCGCGGAGTCCACGTGAGCGCGCCTACGCATCACATCACCGTGGCCATAGTCTTCACGCCATGCGCTGATGGGCACGGGCGTGCTCCTCAGTGGAGCGCTCGCCACTCTGGCGTTCGCTTCGCTTCGCTCCGCTTCGGTTCCCACCCCGGGCGGAGGAGGAGGAGGAGGAGGGGGAGGAGGAGGAGGAGGAGGAGGAGGAGGAGGAGCAGGAGGAGGAGGAGGAGGAGGAGGAGGAGGAGGAGGAAGAGGAGGAGGAGGAGGAGGGGGAGGAGGAGGGAGGAGGGAGGAGGAGGAGGAAGGAGGAGGGAGGAGGGAGGAGGGAAGAGGGAGGAGGGGGGAGGGAGGAGGGAGGAGGGAGGAGGTTGCAGGGAGGAGGGAGGAGGCAGGAGGGAGGAGGGAGGGGGGAGGAGGGAGGAGGCAGGAGGGAGGAGGGAGGAGGGAGGAGGGAGGCCTGGGTGAGGCAGCGGGACTGCCAGGGGGCGGCCCTGTCAAGAGGGAGCAGCCCCAGAGGGCCCTCGGCCGGCGTTTTTTTCCCAGAACAGCTTGCTGAACGGGATGTTGTTGGTGATCGTTTCTTATTCATTGTTTTGGCGATCGGCGCGGGCCCTCCCACCCCCTCCCCCCCCCATGGAGAAGATCTGGGCTGTTTTTGGCGCCTGTTTGAAGCAGGTGGAGTCTCCCCCCCATAGGAAGCACTGTTGCAAACGGTCGCATTAAGCAGGGGTCCAGAGCCAGACCTCCCCCGTCCCCCCCCTCTTTCCGATCACGATCGCCACGGGCTACCACCCCCACACACACCGCGGGACGACCACCACCAGCGCGACAGCCACCAGCTCGACAACCACCAGTACGACGGCCACCAGCACGACCGTTCCCACGACGACTTCACGACCGTCTTCCGCTCTCCCCCCTTGCCTTCTGGCCAGCCGCCACTGCCTGCAGCTGGCGCGTTTTGCTTCTTCCCTCCTCCTCCCTCCCATCCTCTCCCTCTCCCCCGGCCTGCGTTGTTGTGCTCGCACAGGCGTTCGCCCAAGGCGGCGTCTGTGTGATCGGCCGCGGTGGTGGTTAGGCACCGTCCCCCGCCGCGTGCTGTGTCCTTCTACCATGTTGGGGACGGGTGCCTCGGAACTCGCTTCTCGTCTCTCTCTCTCTCTCTCTCTCTCTCGGGAAGGAAGAGGAAGAGGAGGAGGAGGAAAAGTAGGAGCAGGAAGGACAAAATGAAGGATCGTACGAATAGTAATAGTAAGAAGAGGTGGAGGAAGACGAGGAGGAGGAGGAGGAGGAGGAGGAGGAGGAGGAGGAGGAGGAGGAATGTGAACATAATGATGAGGACGTTTGCGAGTATGAGGAGGCAGGAGGGGCTTGAGGAGGAGGGGCATGAGGAGGGGCAGGAGGGGATGCAGTACGGCGGACGAGTCATCGCGAGCAGAGGTGGGGCCCGCCTCCCGCTCTGCGGCTGTGCTGCCGTCAGGCGAGACCTTGCGGACCCTCACAGCGCCCTGCGCTTTCGCATCAAGGAGCGAGGGCGGAGGGGGAAGGGGAAGGATTGAGAGGACAGGGGGAGGGGAGATGATGGTGGTGATGGTGATGGTGATGGTGATGGTGGTGATCACGATGATGCTGCTGATGATGATGGTGCTAATGGTGATGATGAGGAGGCGGATGAGGATGAGGAGGAGTATTATGGTGATATGTGATGATTGTCGTGGTGATAATGCTAATTGTGATGATGTTGATGATGCTGGCCATGCTACTGCTTGGGATGTTGATGACGGTGGAGGTGATACTGATGGTGATGATGATGATGGCGATGCGGATGATGATATTGATGATGATGATGATGATGATGATGATGAGGATGATGATGATGCTAACAATAATGATGATGATGCTGATGATGATGATGGTGATGCTGATTATGATGATGATGACGATGATCATGATGATGACCGTGCTTCTGCGCATGATTATGACGATGACAACAACGGGGCGACGAAGGAGCGACGACGATGACGATGACGATGCTGATGCTGATGATGAAGATGAAGATGAAGATAGGATGAAGATGATGATGATGATGATGATGATGATGATGATGATGATGATGATGATGATGATGATGATGATGATGATGATGATGATGATGATGATGATGGTGATGATGATGGTGATGATGATGATGATGCTGATGATGATGATGCTGATGATGATGATGATGCTGATGATGATGGTGCTGCTGCTGATGATGATGATGATGCTGTTTCTGCTGCTGCTGATGATAATGATGGTAGTGATGGCGATAATGACTATGACTACGACGATGATGAATAATAAGATAATTAGAAAGCACAACCAAAGTATGACCACTATTTGGCCAGTGTGCACCCCAAACGTTGTGTCTCTAGCAGTATACGCTGTACAATGCATGCGGATTAATATATGTGGTGAGCTATATGTTGTTCTATGTGTGTTATGGAAGCTAAGGTTTACAACCAATGGTGTACAATAGTTCGATCTATGAGGTGCAGTATCTGTTGTGCTGTTTATGTCGAGCGAGCCATGCAGTTCAATCTAGGTGGTGCAACCTATGGTGTTCAATATGTGGTGTGCCTTCTTTACTATCCACTCCATGTCGTGCGATCTGTGTGTGCAGCCTATGTGGAGCAATCAAAGTGATGCAGTACATGTTGTGCAAGATACGTTGTGCAATCTATGTATGTATTCATAAGTATATACATGTAGGTGTATATGTATATGTTTATGTATATGTTCATACAGCGCTTGGCTCCCCGCCGCTCGACTCCCCGATCCCAGGGAAGCGGAGCGGCGCGTGGCGCGTCGCCAGTGCCACGCTCCGGGCAGCCCTCGCGGAGGCCTGAACGACACCCCCATCCCTCGGCGAGCGACCTGGGACGATCTTTGTCGTCAACACTGCCTTGACGACCTCCGCCGCGCGCTCGCGGCCGCTCGCAACTCTCTCCTGCCCTCCTTCCTGATCTGGAACGTTCGATACTTACGCAGCACCCTGGCACACAAGAACCAAGCCAAGCTGGCCACCATCACCAAAGCGTCCGCTCACAAGCGCATCGCCGTCCTGCAGGAGACCCACTGGTCCGACCACGACGTTGGGGTGTGGACTACCATGTTCCCTGCAAGACGCGTTGTCGCGTCGCCGGCCTACCTCGGTCCGGGCGGTGGGTGGTCAGGTGGGGTCGCCATTATCTTCTCCCACGACTACGAGCTAGTCGACTCCACCGTCCTGGTCCCTGGGTGCGCCATCGCGGCCACTACACGCAAGCAGGACGATACACTTTGGGTGGTGTCGGTCTCCCTTTTGCCGGACCGACGCTCCGACGTCCTGGTCGCATTGGCGGACGCCCTGGCCGAGCCGACTGGCATCCACACGTATTGGGGAGGGGACATCAACATGGAATGGCAAGGCCCACGAGACGGCGAGATCGAATACGTGGCGGCGTGGGTTTCCACGCTGAACAGGCACGCTTCCCACCCCGCACCGACCGACGGCCCGACCTGCATCGGTGCCAAGGGCGAGTCCCAAATCGGCACCTTTGCCTGCCCGGCCTCAGCGGCGGGGTCCTACCGCATCTCCAGGCCTGGAAAACATCAGTGTCCGATCACGCCCTGATCTACGCCGACCCGACCACACTTCCTGCGGTCAAGAAAAGCGACGTCCTCACACCGTGGGCCTACGAAACATTCCCTGGGGAGGCGCACGACGATCTTCGGCGGCGCTACGACACCCTCGAAAGGATGTTCCAGGTGCCACAGGTAGTCTTGACACGCCTCGTCCAGCCCGGCGACTGGACCTGGCCGGCCCCCCCAGGCAGCCTTCCGGACGAGCACCTAGCCGACGACAGACACGACCTTGAACACGAAGACGACCGCCGCGACGACCCTGTCCCGACAATCACGGACAGAGCCCTGCCCCAGCTCGATGCTCTGGCCGAACACGGACGCGACGCCCTTTCTGCCGTGCCAACTTCCTGGTGGAAGTACTGGGCCAGGCGCCGCCAGCAGGTTCCCATGATGGGCGTGCAGCTACGCAGAGCAGCGACTGGCACCACGACGTTCAGACCGACGGGGCCCCCGGCTGCATGGCTGACGAGCGCGGGATGGCACGGCGGCGATCTGACCCCTGCTGAGGCTGCCGCCTGGGGAACCAGGTGGCGTGCGGATCAGACCCACTGACGAGCGGCCCAGCTGACCCCGTGGCAGCGCAGTGCGGGCGTCGAGAGGGCCCAGCTGGGCCCGCACTACCGAATAGGCCGCGAGATCTTCAGGAAGTCACACTCGCTAAGAGGGGTGAGCCGCAGCTCGCCCGGGACCGGGCCGCCAAGAAAGGGGGGCAATGCGGGCCCAATATCAGTGGCCACCGACCACCTCGGCAAGACCCCCGGCTCCAACTCTGCCCCAGGCGCCGCCTGGCACCTTTCCCTGCGGGCCTACGGCCCGCTGGTCGACGCCTACATCAGGGAAGCGGTGGCCGGGTCCCCCCCGTCCACTGCGACGGCCGCCCCCTTTGCTGACCAAACCAAAGCGTTCGAGAGGCTGTCGCTCCAATGTTTGGAGGAGCTGCTGCGTCGCTGGCGACTGCCAGCCTGGCTTAGACATGCCTTCATGGCCACGTCCAGACGTGCATGGGCGCCTACGCCAGACCCAGGAGACGGCCGCTCCGCTCCATCGGCATGGGAGGCACCGCCGCCCCCCTGCTCTGGTGCATGGCGCACCACCCGATCATAGAGGCGACGGCGGCCGGCATAGGGGACAGGTGCCCCGCATGCGTGGGCGACCTGGCAGCCCTGCTAGCCACGGCCGAGCAGGCCCTGCGCACCGCCATCCTGCTCCCGTGGGCCTCGCACCTGGCTGGGCTCTGCGTCGACGTCCACGCCTGTCGAGGACTCGTGCTACCGGCGGCGCCGCCCAACCTCCGCCGAGCATGCGCATCCTTCCCCGTGCGCATCAAGCAACGCTCCAGCGGAGCGCCAATGGTGATAGGCCTAGCCCCTGAACTGACGAAGCGGCCCCTCGCCTTCGAGCTCGGCCCTGGCGGCGCCCAGGGCGCCTGGATCTGGCAGCGAGGGCGCGCTTGCGCTTTTAAGACTTCCCTTGTCCCGGCCGGTAACCAAGCCTGGTGGGAACGCGTCATGATGAACTCCCCGTTCGGGTCGTCCTGTGTCAGGCTGCAGTGGCCGTGCCTAGGAGCCGCGGTTGTCTCGCGCGCGGTCGCCGACGCAGCGCCCCCGCGAGGAACCATGGCGCCAGCGCAGGTGGGCGCCATGATCACCGGCACTTGGGGAAAAGTCATGAGGAGGATGCGGGCCAGGACCCTCGCGCTCTTCGACGGCCGCGCCTCACCTGGCCGGCGCGCGGCGGCGTGGAACGCGTGCGTCGCCTCCCTGATCCCCTACCCCGCCCACTACGCCCCCCCACCCCAGCCCTCGAGCGGTCCATGGGGGCTCGCAGGCACTCGCTGGGCACCCGACCACATCGTCACGGGCCTGGGCTTCCTGTATCAGATTGCGGGCTTCCCCAACTGTCCTGTTGCCCTGGCCCGCAGCATCTCGGCGCTGGCGCGTGCGCGGGGAGACGCGTGGCGACGCTCCCTGACCAGATGGAACAAGCTCGTCAGGTGGGCAAGCGGCAACGTTGCGCCGCCAGCCCGACCCAGGCGAGGCGCCGAGGCTCTCACCCTGCCCAAGGCCGCCAGCATCATCTCCACGTACGCTACCCGCCCAGACCTACCGTGTGGCCGCCTGCTAGGGCGCGCGCTCTACGCAGCCGCCTGGGCGCAGCAGTATGGCACCTCGGCCAACGACTGGTTCGCCGGGGTCAGCCGCCGGCGCAGGTGGGCGCCTGGGCACGCGAGGGAATGGGGTATCCTGGCGCAGGCCGCAGACACCGCCGCCTCTCATATTCTCAAGCTCCTCGCTAACGGTCTCCCAGGTCACGCGAGGTGGCGAAACGCCCAGGACCGGTTCCCCCACCCGTGCAACGCGTGCCAATGCGAAGCCGACAGCGTCTGGCACACCGCCTCGTCTCACTACGCAGGTGTTGCCTGGTGCAACCGCTGCATGGGCCACTGGGCAGGCTCCCAGGCCAAGTGGCCCCTGCTGCCGCAGCGCGCCCTACCTGATCGCCTCCGCGACCTGACAGCGACCGCCCGTAGCGCCCGTGGCCCCTGCTGTGCCAGGCCCGTGCCCGATCCTAGCCCGTGCGGCGGCTGCCCCTTGTGTGGCGCGGGGGAGGCCGGTAGCGAGCATCTGTGGACTTGGTGCCTGGCAGTGGCGCTGGCCTGGCTCCCAGTGCGCCCTGAAGGCGCTCCTGACCTCCTCCCCGACGCCGTCCTCTCCCGAGGCGATCACGCGCGGGCGCTCGCTGTCTTTCTGCGCCGGGCCCCCTACAAGTGCCGCGTCTCACTTGGCAGACCCCCCCTGGATGCAGACACCGCTGCGCAGCTCATCCGGGCGCTCCCCCGGACGACAACGTGGACATCTCT